CCAGCGCCCCATTCCTGTCCAGAAGCTCGCGCCGGGCCTCCGTCTATGAGGGCTTGTAGAATAGTTATCGTAGAAAGCGTTTGAACTCGATGTTCTTGGTGTCTGCGGAAATCTGTGGTTGTGCTACGCTTAGGATTGATGCTAGTGCACTGCTAGTTGTGTCTGGATGCAGCTTTATACACCTAACTGCGGGACGAAGTCTCCTGAGCCTGCCTCTGCCTTGGACTTAACTCCTCTGACGTTTTCAGCTTCTCAGGTGGCTTTGTCATGGATGAAACAGTTGCTGAGTATATCCGAAGAACTGTCCTAAAAATCCCACGAGATGAAATCAAGACAACGCTACAGAAATGGGGCTTTCTCTCTGAGTCGCAGCTGCAAACTGTAAACTTCCGTCAGCTGAAGGACAGCATTAGTCAAGATGTTGTGCATCTCTGTGAGGTAATCCTTTCCTTCGGGAACTGCCTGTCGGTGCATGTTGAAGCACCATCAAAAACAGCATTCCTGTGAAGAAATAGATTTTCTTTGGCCATAACGGTATCAAATAGCAGTTTCTAGTTTGGAAATGTAAAGCTGCTGCATGATTAACCCTTACCCCAGTCCAGAAGTACATGTTTTGAGCTCTTAAATTGCATAAGGTAGATAAGAGCACAGTGTGTTGAACCTTTAAGAAACGGGTGTATTTCTAAATTTTAAAATAAAAGCATTGATTGAGATGCCTATTCATTACATAGTGCTAATTTAAATATCATGTTTTGAGCTCTTAAATTGCATAAGGTAGATAAGAGCACAGTGTGTTGAACCTTTAAGAAATGGGTGTATTTCTAAATTTTAAAAGCATTGATTGAGATGCCTACTCATTACGTAGTGCTAGTTTAAATATATTTAGTATGGGTTCTTCTTGCTGTCTCTGCAGAAATGCTTAAACCTTGCGGAAATCGCTTTTCTTACTGATTTCTCAAAACTACTGCACGCGCACTGGGACTGGGCGCAGTGTCTGAAGGGAACATATGTGCGCTGGACCTCAGTGCAACGTAATGTGACTACTGACACTTTTCACTTACTGAACAGTGTGATAGAGCATTCTGGACTTGCTGTTCACTGTTATTCTTCTTTCCAGGAAAATTCGGCAGACATAAAGCAAGCAGCTGACCTAGATGTAGTTTGTAAGTAAAAAATGAATACAAATAATTTTATATTTTTATCAGTCACTTCATAGTGCCCTTCATTAATGCATTTGATATAAACAGATAACATTTTTAGATGATCAATCTTATTGGATCTGACCTTTTTAATTAAAAAAATCAGAAGCTCCAAATCGACAAAAGCATGTTTGCTTTTTCTGAGGTCTAAATAGATGTGAACTGTGGTAAGTCCCATCCAGCAGAGTTTTAAATGTACAGAGATACATTTGTCTGTAGTGTGCACCAAACCCTGAAATCAGCTATATCATGCTCCAACAGGGAGTGACATAGGCAAAACCATCTGCAATATTCCAGGTGGCACTCCTAACCCTTATGTCAATTCACAATTTGTTTATATAATAGTTTAGGTCTTGAGGTTTCCTTTAGCAGTCTACACTACCTAGTTTGAGTTTAGACTGAATTTCAGTTAATTTAGGTAAAATCCTTGAAACAGTGGACCTAAGAGGAGAGAAACTTTGTTAGTTGTTTAACTGAATTACAAAAGATTTTTCCGTCTCTTAATAAAAAACTATTTCACTTTTAGGTTTGCAATGAGTAGTAGTTTAAGAATTCTGACTACCTGATATTGCTGCCAGAAGTGATCTTTTTGAAATAACCTCATTGTAAAAGTATTGTAAAATTATTTATTCCTTTAATTACTGCTTGATAATACACTGTGTTATTGAGCAATTCATGTTTTTCTTAGACAACCATGTGTACCCAAACAAAAGGATGTGGAGTGTTTACCAGATGAACAAAACAGGTAAAATGCCTTTCCTTGCTGTCATCTCACGGCACCTTCCTGCAGCGCTGCCTCATAACATACATTTTAAATACAAATATAGTCTAGCATGGATTCTTCAACAGAGAGATCTTTCATTACTTCTCAAGCAGTTATTAGAAATTTGTAACTACTAATTAAATATTAACCTCTTCTCTATATAGCAATAATTTGGCTCTGATTTAACGTACAGCTTTTCATATAAGCCTATGCAACTTGAGCTTTTACTGCTTAACTTTTTTTCAGCAAAACTAAAGTATTCTCTAAACTATTTCTTGTAAACACAATTTTTTTTTTGTCTTGTGTAACAGGAGAAGAAACAGATTTTTTTGACTTTAAAGATTTCAAAAAAAAATTTAAAAGACGACTTCGGTCAGCCTTGAGAAATGTAAGAATAAATCTGTCCTCAATTTGCTGCACAGCTCTGGTGTAAATAGATTGTTTTCATAAGTTTAGCGACTTTTTTTTGTACAATCTGCCTCAAAAAACAAATGGAATTACTCATTTGGGAATGGTAGGAGCTGCATGGGAAAGAGAGGTGTATTGAATATCCGTTCTAGTGACTTTACAGTTATGTCAAGGCAAGCTTACATTTGATTTCACTTCAGCATATGACTGGCTTCAAGAAAGGCAGTATGTTCATGTTTTCTGTCAGGTCTTTGCCTTATTTGAATGTGCCTGTTGCCTAGTTAAGTTGATATTGCTTTCTCCGGTTATCCAATAACAATACACAACAAAAATCAGATATAGCAGAGTTACAGGGGGAATTTGAAGTAGCGGGTAAGCGGGACAAGAAAGTTCAATTATTGTGACTTAGATTAGTAGCCAAATTTTATCCATTTCCTTTTACCTCTGGTTTTGAAATGACATTTTGTGATGGCTGTGAGAGCTTGGCCCTGGAAGTTTGTTACATTTTAACAGCTGAAAGACCACTGTCAATGGTAAGAAGTAATTTCTAGGCTAAAGAAATGAGCACTGGAAGAAAAATTGGAGGGAGATACTATCATCTCACTTTTTTACTAAGCAATCTGCAGGAGCCTTCTCTTGCTCAACAGCTTCATTGAAGCAAGGTAATAGAAAATGCCTGTTCTGGTTAACTATGTCACTTCTGACGCACAAAGGAATCCTGCTGATGGCAGTGTAGGGCAACAGAGAGAGAGCTGCAATTCATATTGCAAAACTTTCTAATAGATTTACATGTTCTTTAATTCCAAAAAACCTGAGAAGTCATGTTGGTCCAGCAACTTAATTTATGGCTCAGTTGGACTAAAAGCTTGATTATCACTGCCTCAAGCAAAGGGAGGTGGGGTTTTCTTAAAGGAAATTTTCCCACTCTTAAGTCACTCAGATTGATTTAAGGTTCAAAAAAAAGTAACTGAGGACCAAGTCTAAAGAAAAGGAAAGGGAATCTTCAAATTAAAAGAGAGAATCAAGGCTTTTGTAATAAGCCAGTTCTATTTTCATCCTTCAGAAAAATTGTGCGTCAACACAAACAGAAGTCATATTAGACTTTTCTTTTTCCAGTTTGTGAGATTATCTTTTTTTTGCAGAAATTGGATTTAAATACAATCCTGACCACACTAGTAGGGTTTGTTTCTTTTTGTGTACTAAGTTATGCTTGGTCCTTGTGAACACGGGTTAAGAGACAAGAAAATCTTTCTGGATACCTCAGCGTGCTGGTAAATCAAAGCTTTTCTTTTTCCGTTAGGTCACTATCAATTTCAGAGAATACGAGGATAATGCGATCTGGATTAGAATTGCCTGGGGAACACCATATACGAAACCGAACCAGTACAAAGCCAGCTATGTCGTGTACCATTCACAGGTTCCCTATGTCTTCATTTCTACCTCGGTGCTTAAGAGCAACATCCCTCTGCTATGTCAGGTACCAAATAAAACTCTGTAGACCCTGACTTCACCACAGTGATGTGTAGCTATCATTATGTTAGCTTTTAAGAGGGTGGGTGAAGATGTGGCACTTAACATACTCATTTACACAGTCTTTTTTTTATCCCACTTTGGTCGTGATAAAAATGGAGCAAAACCCACCTTTGTGGTTTTGTGTGACCTTTGGAATGATGCATCATGAATAAATGCAGTTGATTGGGATTTCTGATGACTTTGAATTGTTATAATTTCTTAACCAGGTGTCAGGCAATATTCAGTTTAATTGGCTCATAGAAGTTGAAGAGTATTATAGCAATGGAGTTAACTTGGAGAACTACATGTGTGAGGTCATCAGGGAGTGCTATTAATTAGTCTTAAAAGATTTTTCTGTCAACTTGTGACCAGCATTGTAGTCTTTCGTTTTTTTAATGTTTTTAGCAGATTTCTGTACTAGTAGTTCAATTGTTTTTGTTCATCTGTTTGTTTTATTGATTTTTCAGCTGATAAGGCTATAGGCTTATCTGGCTTAATCCTGGGAATGCTTTTAAATATTAGCCAATGCTTAATAACAGTCCAGTCAACATTTTTTTCAGACATGAGTATCCTGCTAGTTAAAGGGCAGTTGTTTACCTTGAAACAAAATCATTGCATTGTCTAGAAATATTGTAGTTTTTCCATAGCATAAACAGGGTGATGATTGATGTTAAAACCATTTCAATTTCTATTTGAAGGCCCTGCTTGTTGCTTCCAATTACCATGACATCCGTGAAATGGAGCTTCGAGGTCACTGTTTAAACTCCCTTAAAGATATTGTGTTTAAGAGATATAGCCAGGTGAGCCTCTTCACAAGTACATCCTAAGATAAGTCTTGCTTTTTGTTTCAGGCCTAGTTCCCACCCCTAGCAGGGGGGGAGATTCACCTCTTCCAAGAGACCCTACAGTTAAAATAATATTGAACTACTGAGGTGGACAACCTTTCATTAAGGTAACATTACAGTGGGGAAGTAATTCTTGTTATCCCACCTACTCTTTATTGTTATTCCTGATGGTTAAACAAAGTCTTAAAATTGTATAAACAATTCAGTCCCAGGATTTTTTAGCATCATTGCACTAGGCTTCCTAGAGGGATGAGCTGAAGGCTGTTAGAACAGGCACTTCCTCTGCTTGTCCATGCAAAACTTGTCTATAGGGATATGTTTGCAAATATTGTAGGACAGGCATTCTTTTCTCAAAATCAGCCTGGGCTTTCTTACTTTTAGTAATTATCAAAAATGGGAAGAATACTCACTTTGAGAATGAGAAGCAGAAAGAAATCTGGAAAGTTCTTTTCGACTACAGCCTTTAAAAGTGGCAGTAAACTATTTTTTTTTCTCTGTCTCTATTTAGAACTTCCAAACTTATTGTCCAAGACCTCTACCAGAAACGAGCATAACACCAGTAATCAGTACGTATATTTGAAATTAAGTGGCAGTTTGGATGTCACTGCCGGCTTATGAAATTCATAATGGGAAACGTACGTGTCATGCAGTCCCGCTGCGTTACCCATCCCTGGCAGGGTGCATCATGCTGGCTGCCATGGTAGAAGCAGGGATTTCCCTGTGGCTGTTGTTGGACACTTAGCAAACCAAAAATACCCCGTGCCCACTATCTCCTTTCATGTTAGCTTGGGTTTTTCTCTTGGTAAGAACTGAAAGTATAAATGATGGGAGCAACTACCTTATGAGAAAAAGATTGTGATTAATTCTTTAACGTATTATTCTCAGATGTTCACTAGAGTAATCATCTGATCAGAAAAATAGTATTGTATCAGCTGACAAGGTGGTTTTTCTGGGTTTTGTTTTGGTTTTTTATTTCCTCTTCTCTTACCAACTTTTTTTTCCTTGCAGAAGATCTAAGGGTAGTTCAAGAAAATGGAGATGAGAAAGAAAGAATACTGAGGGTGAATCGGGAAGTTTTTGGTGATGGTCCCCAACCAAAACTTGAATTTGCACAATATAAGGTAGTAAAATCAATAGTTTTGGGCTTTTTTTTTTTTTAAATTATTTTAATATAGTGGTAGCTACAGTAAGTTGCAAATTGAACAAAGATTAGATTTTATTTTTTAACTTAAGGGAGGACGTTGTAGAACAGCTTAAAGTATCTTTAAGAAAGAGGTCTTGTCTTCATTGAGACGTGATCAGACTAGATCACCTTTCAGTCTTCCAGCCTTGTGAACTACACGTTTTGATTTGGTTTTTACACCAGCAGTGTGAAGTGTGAGACACGAGGGTTATTTGAAGTATGTACAAAGCTCGTGATGCATATAAGACCATAATTTAACTTAGATGATGCATGGATTTTATCTGGCAAACAGGTATATTGGAAGGTCTAAGGGACACTTTGTGGTTTATGATGTTGCTGAACAAGCTGCCTCTTTCGGCAAAAAACTACCACATGGTGGCACCCTCTGTTTTTATTCGTGTGTTCCTCCAGCCGGAATCATGGTAGCATTAGGAGTAAAAGAGGGGATACAGCCTTATTATGTATTACATTGTTAATGTAATGGTTAAATAATAACACATGGAGATATGTTCTCTGCTTATACTCCCTGGTTAAATTTTGTATTGACAGCTTGAGACAATGTTTAAAAGTGGTCCTAAAATGGATGTTTTGCATAAAAAAGAACCGTTCAGATGTCTGGTCAAGTTTTCTAGTCCACACCTCTTAGAATCGCTGAAATCCTTGGCACCAACAGGTAAGTGTTCCAACTCTATACAGTGGAGGGAAAAATCCACAGTTAAATATTGTCACCTTGCATTCTGCTTGCATAAGGAAGAACTTTCATAATTTGTTTAAAAATGCATAGAAACTTAGTAGAATAGAAATGCTACTGCTATATAAACTTCTGTCTACTTACTGGTCTGTTCTTAGAACTACTAGTTTGTATGTAGGTACTCAAGCTGTGGTTTTAGTTGCATTACGGATATGAAAGGTAAAGAGTGGTTGAGTTAAGCTGTAATTATCTGTCTCCCTCTCTCTCCAGGTGTGGCTGATGCACCACTGTCACCACTACTTACATGTATACCCCACAGAGCTAGGAATTATTTTAAAGTTAAAGAGAGAAAAAGTTTACTTCCAGGAAGTTTTGTAAGCCCTTAATTTAAAACAAATCAAAATAACTTAAAATAATTTTTAAATAAATTATTGAAATAACTTTTTGGTAATACCTTAAAGTTTTTTCCAAATTATGGCTGCTTTGAATGATTTTTCCACATCTGTGGAAAGTTGACTCTTCGGTCTTTCAGCCTTTTGAAATAAGCGTTTTGACTCGGGTTTGTAATAAATGTCGACTTAGGTGTGTCGAAGCGTGAGAAACTAGCGTTGCGTGAAGTAGGTACAAAGCTCGTGAGACATATAATCCCATAATTTAACTTACATGATGCATGATTTTATGTAATGAGCAGATATTGAAGATATATTTCATATGTGAGCAGTAGAGTTAACCCTTTTCTTAAAGAAATGTTTGCCACAGTTTAAATGGATATCATGCTTATTTTGCGTTTAAATGTGGTGACTGCTCTGAACTGTATCCTTAATAATATTTGTCTGGTTAAAGCTAGCTGAAGCTTAAGAAATATCCAGTGAGACAGCTGTGGCTCTGTGGTTTGCTGCCATCGCTGTAGGTGGCCGCCTTATTTCAGCTCCAGTTCAGCAGCGTAACAGAGCACGTGAACAGCCCCGTTCAGCTAAGTGGAACTGCCCGCCTGCAGGTCAGGCATGGTTTTACCTTGTAGATGAAGCTTTTGTTCAAAGGCCGTTACAGGGCCTGGGGGAGAAGGGGCTCATGGAATACAGATGTCAGTAAGGAGTTTCCATCCAGCTTCAGATGCAGTTTTTACTAGCCAAGGACAGCAGCCAATCTGTCTCATGGCATTAATGTTTTATGAAATTTTGTATTGGAAGAATACAGTGAAACCGGCAGTAATTTTGACGAAGTCTGTGTTTCAGAATGATTTGATCCTTCTGCAGTCCTTGCATGTCACTGTCCGTGCCTGGGCACATAAAGATTGCAGAATCAAGGCGGCAGCAGTCACTAACACATGACAGCTTTGCATTAGACTTCCTCAGAGTCGGTAAATTTCAGTTAGTAATGACATTTTTATGTAACTTGCATCATTTTTAATAGGATATTGACTCAGTGTGAAGGCTCAGTACTAGTGTACAAGTGTTTCTTCTGTTATCTGGGACCTTTGGGCGTGGAATTTCTGACTCACTTAGGGTATGTCAGTGTGCAGAGATGGTCTTCATACCTTTGGGGCACAGTGTAAATGTTCTCAGAGGTTGTACGGGAATGTTTTTGTTTTCAAACTGTAAATAAATGTGTAAATTAAGTCTTCTCAGAAGTTTGGTTGGCCTGATTTGGAAACACAGCTTAACACATTTGGTATGGCTTTCAACATCTCTATAGCTCACACAAAAAGAAGGCAGTTTAGGACTATCAGCTGGTGCTAAGTTTTTAAGACTTCTATCTCTGTGATTTAAATGTTAGTTGGACAAAATGCTTAATTCGGAAACAGTTCCAGGTTGTGTGTGATACATGAAATGTGTAATAGTCACTAAGAGTTGGCTCTTACGTCTCTCACATTGAACCTCCTAGGAGTCAGAGCCATCGAGATTCCAGCATGTGTTTCACTCTGTGCAACTTTCTCCCTAATGCTCTCTCCCAAGTAACTGAAATGCCCGAGATGGCAGTCATTTACCGTAAAGGTTCCGATACACCAAACCACTTGGAGTAGCTGGCCTGCTGCCTCGGTCTGCTTCCGGGAAAGGCAGTGTGCATCCCCTTCTCAACCACCCAGAAGCTGGGCTCTGACTTCCTCTACCCACGGCTCTTGTAGGAACGACTGGGCGCTTACGGGGCAGTTCAGCACAGCAGGGGGCACGCAGGGGAGAGGAAAGGGCTCTATCCCCAGCACAGGGCCCTGACGTGTTCCAGGAGCTGCACCATCACCCAACTCTTCCCCAGCTCAGGGTGGGCTCCGTACTGCTAACGCATGGGTTTTGTCCTTTAAGGGGCAGAGCTGTCGTGTGTCCCGGTTCTTCTAAACCCAGCACACACCAGTAAATAAACGCAGAGTAGCGGAGGGGCCCCGCAGCCGCCTCCGCCCTGGGAGGGCGACGGGCCCATGGCCGCTGCCCGCCCTTTCTGCCAAGGCA